TGGCATACATTCCTGCCAAGCCTAGGTAAATCCCTATGTATGCTGTAGATTCCTTATAAACACTATGCTCCAGGAAGCTACTACTGTTAGTTCAGAATTGGCAAAAAGAAAACCTAATTGCCATTACTATTCTAATTGTTTTGGCTATGGTAGTAGCTATGTGTTCTTTGGATTCCCACGGGTATCAGAATTTGGAAAAAAAGATATATAAAATGTTTTTAATGAAACAAAAATAGAGGACATTGAAATTCATTTCCAGATTTTGTCTATAACCCCTTTATCCATGTCTCTTTAACATTTATTAAGTAATAATAAGCTACTAATAGTACCATTTGTCGACTGTAAGTATTGACCACCTGCTATGTGCCTAGCACTATGTTAGATGCTTGATGTCATTATTCTCATTTAATCCTTGCAATGACTTTGCAAGGTAGGACTTATTATCCCCATTTTATAAATGAAAATGGAAGTCTAGAGATTTTAATGTGTCCAGGGGCTGCCATTTTAAGTGGCAGAGGCAGGATCTAAGCTCAGATTCATTTGACTCTTAAGCCTGTGGTCTTTTTATCCTATTGGTTTTCCTCTTCTCAGTTTTTATGATGATTGGTTGTTGTTTTTCTAATAATTCTATTAGATGTTTGCTGATCAAGTCTTTATAGAAGTATATTGGTCATCTGTATATAGGTGTTTGTTGGTGAAGCCTTAGTATCTTTCTTGACTCCCCAGTTAACAAATTCCTTAAAGTAATGGACATGTACTTATATCTTGTAATTCCCTGTAATACTGAAAATATATAATAACAATGATATAGTCAAAGCTTCTGTGAGATGTAGGCACTGAATACAGACATAGTCAGTAAATGTTGACTGATTTAATTTCAGGCCTTTTTTAGTACTGATACAAAAATAAAAAATAATTTCTCTCTTAAATTCTTCTGATTTCTCAAAACAATTTTTCTGTCCTAGGTAAGTACAAAAAAACAGACACTGTTCTCTGTTTTGGGTATCACTACACCACCATTATAGAGTCACTACGAGTCGATATCAACTCGATGGCACATACCACCACCACCATGACCACCATTTTGCTCACCCCAAAATAAAACTCTGAGGCTACAGGTTTATAAATGATTTTTGTGTTCTCAGCTGTAAAACGGGGATGATAATAGTATCTGCATCAGGAAATTTTTGGGAGATTTAAATAAGCTAATGCATTTTAGTTCTAGGAGCTATTCTTGATTCTGTTCTTTTCCTTAACCCTGCCATTTCCATCCATCAACAAGTTTACCTCTCAGAATAATCTGAAACATTACTTGTCTTTATTTCTACAACTAACACACCAGTCCCAACAGCCTCTATCATTTTTTGCCTGCTCCACTGTGATAGCTTCTTAACTGGTCTCACTACTTCTACTGTCACCACATTGCAGCTAGAGTGATCTTTTAAAATATAAATCAAAATTTGTTGTTTCCCTCCTTAAAATCCTTCCATGGCTTCCCATTACACTTAGTATAAAATCAAAATTCTTTACCCTGGCTTACAGATTTGATCTGTCTCTTGCCTGCTTTTTCTTGCCCTACATGCTTCTGCCACACTGACTTTCTGTTTTTCAAAACATCAGGCTATGACAACCCTAGGTCCTTTGCTCTGTGCTCTTCCCTCTGTCTAGAATGTTCTTGTCTAAATCATATACAGGTAGTTACTGACTTAGGACGTATTCAAGTTACGACAGACCGCACTTAAAACACCGTCAGTGTGTCTGGAACATTGCATCTTCCTGGGAGGGAGGTACAGGAAAACGTATGCTGGGGATATGAAAAAATTGCTGAGTTATGTGAACCCTCTCTAAGCATTTGATCAGGTGAATATGATGGAAGACATCAGTGGAAAAAACATCCATATGGCAAGAATACTGAATTTAGAACTTGATATTGCCAATGTGGAACAGCTCTTAGGTCATGAAGAAGGAGAATTGACAGATCAGGACTTACTGGATTTTGAAGAGGAAAAAATGCTAAAGAAGAAAGAAATAATGAGAAAGAGGAAGGAGAGAAGTTGTCAACAAATCTTACAGTGAAAGGATTAGCTGGAGTTTTTCTAAACTACACCAGGGGATTCAGTTGCTTGAAAACATGGACCCAAACGCTGATTGCTTTGTTAAAGTCAATAGGTAGATACGGGCAGCATAGAGATATTACTGCGAAATGTGTGAAGAAAAAAAGAAAAGGACCATACAGACAACTCTTACTAGTTTTCTGACTAGAAACGCCATCCCCATTCCCAGAGATGATCCAGAACCTTCCACAAGTGGAGTTATTACAGCAGCTGACAAAATGCCAACATCATCCAACTCTCCTTCATCGTTGGAATAAATTTTTATGATTTGTATATTTTTATGTATGTATATATTAAAATATATCTGTAAGTTTATGTGTAATGTTTCCAATTCCCAAAGACAAATAAAGATGAGACTTATAAAGATACTAAGAATAAAAGGCAATAATAATGAAAACTAAAAAAAAATGAGTTATTCGACTTACATCAGAGCCGACTTATGATAGAGTCGTTGGGGTGGAACCCCATCATAAGTTGGGGACTACCTGTAATTTTCTAACCTTACTGGCTAAATCTTGAAGTTGCTTTTCTGCCTACCTTTTTGCTGTTGTCCGTATCAACCTATGAGTAAATCTTGTTGGTTTTACCTTTAAAATATATTCAGAATCTGTTCGCTTTTCACTACTTCCACCTCAAATACTTTGTCACTGTCATCTCTGCCTGATTTATCACAGAAGCCTCCTAATTCATCTTCCTGTTTCTTCCTTTACTGCCCTACTCTACTTTTACCTAGTGTTTTTACAAAAGTAGACTTTATGTTTTAGAATAATTTTAGATTTACAGAAAAATTGAGAAGATAGTACAGAGAGATCCCATATATCCCATACCCAGTTTCCCTTATTCTTAACATCGTTCATTCGTTTGGTACATTTGTTACAATTAATGAATCAATATAGACACATTATTATTAACTAAAGTCCATAGTTTATTTGGATTTCCTAGTTTTTGCCTGTTGTCTTTTTCTGTTCCAGGATCCCATCTGGGATACCGCATTACATTTACTTGTCATATCTCCTCAGGCTCCTCTTGGCTGTGAAAGTTTTTTAGACTTTCCTTGCTTTTGATGATCTTGACAGTTTTGAGGAGCACTGGTCAAGTATTTTGTAGGATTCCCCTCTATTGGAATTTGTCTGATTTTTTTGTCATGATTAGACTGGGATTATAGATTTGGGGGAGGAAGACCACAGAGAAAAAGTACTATTTTCATCACATTGTATCAAGGATATTGTCTTAGTTATCTAGTGCTGCTATAACAGAAATACCACAAGTGAGTGGCTTTAACAGAAATTTCTCACAGTTTAGGAGGCTAGAAGTCCAAATTCAGGGTGCTGGCTCTAGGGGGAAGGTTTTCTCTCCGTTGGCTCTGTGGAGAGATCCTTGTCTCTTCAACTTGTTTCTTGGTTCCTTGGAGATCTCCTTGTGGTTTGGCATCAATCTTCCCCCATCTCTCCTCGCCTAATCTGCTCCTTTTATCTCTTGTAAGAGATTAACTCAAGACACTTCCTACACTAATCCTGCCTCATCGACATAACAGAAGACTCATTCCCAAATGAGATTATAACCACAGGCATAGAGATTAAGATTTAAGACACATACTTTTGGGGGACACAGTTCAATCCATAATAGGTATATACTAGCAACATGATCTTACATGATTTAGTCCTCCGTTACTTCTCTGAATTTGTCTCCTACTACCCTCTACTTGGAAACCCTGGTGGCATAGTGGTTAAGAGCTATGGCTGCTAACCAAAAGGTTGGCAGTTCGAATCCACCAGGCGCTCCTCGGAAACCCTGTGGGGCAGTTTTACCCTGTCCTATAGGGTCGCTATGAGTCGGAATCGACTCCACGGCAGCAGGTTTGATTTTTGGTTTGGTACTTTTCACCCTGGAGCCCTGGTGGCACAGTGGTTAAGAGCTTGGTTGCTAACCAAAAGGTCAGCAGTTGGAATCCACCAGCTGCTCCTTGGAAACCCTATGGGAGCAGTTCTCCTCTGTTCTGTAGGGTCACTATGAGTCAGAATCGGCTTGACAGCAGTGGGTTTGGTTTTGGTTTGTGCCTTAGGTAAGAGGCCCTGGTGCGCAGTTGCTCAGCTGCTAACTGAAAGGTCAGTGGTTTGAACCTACCAGCCGTTCAATGGGAGAAAGATGTGGCACTCTGCTTCTGTAAAGATTTACAGTCTTTGAAACCCTATGGGGCAGCTTTACTCTGTCCTCTTGGGTTGCTATGAGTTGGAATCAGTTTGACAGCAGTGAGTTTTGGTTTTGGTGCCTTAGATACTCTTCCCCTAGGTAGCAACATGGTTCGCACCCCAACTTTTGGTCTCTGTTCAGATGTCACCTTATCAGAGAGGTCTTCCTCAAATACTCTATAAAAATTGTACACCACTTCCACCATCCTCTATTCTGTTACTCTGCTTTATTTTCTCTTTCATTTATCATTACATGACATATATGTACTTTGTTTATTGACCCCTCCCCCCCCCATGTAAACTCCTTGAAAGTATGAGCTTTGTCTGTTTTGTTCATTGCTCTATTCCCAGCAACTAGAACCATGCCTGGCACATAGTAGATGCTCAATAGATGCTTTCTAGAAAGATTGTGTGAATTTATAACTCCCTAAACGGTATATTGAATTGCTTACTTAGCTGTATCTTGCACAGCATTGAATGTTATCTTTTAAGATAAATCTGATAGGTAAAAATTGTTAGTTTTAAATACATTTTGATGATTACTACTAAAGGAAAACTCATGTATTTTTAGTTGTATATTCCTCTCTGTTGAATTGTTTCTTCATGTTGCATAAGCTTTTTGTGAATTTACTGTGAGTCTATAGATATACTGCTTGTATAGTAGGTACATGAAAATAACTTATTTTTCTTCCCTTAGGTTATTATAGTGACGACATCACCAAGTTCAACCTTCGTGCCCAACATTCTCTCCAAATCCCATAACTATGCAGCAGTCACTAAGCTTGTACCAACGTCAGTCATTGCTTCCACAACCCAGAAGCCACCAGTGGTTATAACTGCTTCACAGTCTTCTCTGGTCAGTAGTAGCAGCAGTGGGAGCAGCAGTTCTACACCATCACCTATTCCTAACACAGTTGCGGTAACAGCTGTAGTATCTTCCACACCATCCGTGGTCATGTCAACGGTAGCACAAGGTGAGTGGTGATTTATCATTTAATTCTGTCTCTGTTGGTTTATGGGAATTTTGAAGAAAACTCTGTGGGTGTGTTTTTTGTACTTTGGGTGTAAAGGTCCCTATTGTTATATCAGGGATTACCAGCCCCACTCCCCCTATTTGAGAATGTCAGGATAGTGGGTTGCTCAGTTTTCTTACATTAATATGCTTACCCCAAGATTTTTTTTAAATGCATACTACATGATCACCTAGGAAATTAACATTCACAAAATGTAGCTTATATCCTGTCACAACAAATTTGAAATGAGACTAATATACTGAAAATTTTTTTATGAGGAACTTGAATTACGTTGCTATGGTTTCTTCAGAAGAAGCAGAAAGTATGCAACCTCTACAAAGTAAGTTACCCAATGGTAAGAAATTGAGGAAAGAGGATAGTTTCAAGGACATGCCATTCGCTGCTTCTTCAGACTCCTGAATTAGAATTCTGTATGAGTGGGTGATGGAGTTGTTAACTGAGACAGGAACTGAATGCTGAGCTGGAGGACAATTGCTGCTTAATATCAGAGAAGGGAAATGTGGAAACCTAAGTTTCATCTTAAATCAGTTTAGCTCTCCTCCATATCTTTGTGTTCCTCCCGTATGAAAGGCAAGTAAGATACTGTCAGAAATTTTCTTTGTAGAGTGTTGATAAGTCTTAAGACAGGGATCAGAGGAAAGCATTTATTAACAGAATTCATAGCCATATTTGTAGTCTATCAAAGAGAGCATAGAAGCAATATAGTACAGTATTGGTATTAGTTTTCACTGTGTTTTACTTGAATAAAGTATAGCTTAGACTAGGACTATATCATAGACTGGGACTTCAAAATATTGTAGTTTATGAATTAGTAGTGAAAGCAAGCACTTGTACAAAAACACAGTGTTTTTCTGAATGTAGATACTAGAAGAAACTATATGATAATTATTTTGAGTTTCTGTTCTAGAGATATTTAATTTAGATCTTATGAATTCTAAGAAATTGAGGCATTTAAAAAAAAAGGTACATGTTGTTGGAGGTGACAATATACAGACTGCAGTTGTAATTCTGACTTCAGAGCTTATGTAGCAGCTTTTATGTACCTTGAGGACAAGATGTGGTTCAGTGTCTTCTTTTAGAGACTAGGGACAGGCTGTTTTAAAGCTATCTATCTCTGGTTGTTCTTGTAGGAGTGACTAATGGTAGAGGAGGAAGGGTCTTAGTAGCAGTAACTTGTTGGGTGACTCCATGTTTGTAAGTGTCAAAGTGGTTCCAAAGGTAGAAAGTAGAGGGATTGTGGATGAATGGCTCATGCTATAGGAAGGGAAAGAAACTCCTTAATATTTGGAATATGGGAATTCTTATAATTGTACCAATTAAAATGGCTGTCCTGACTCAGCTGGTCATCTAGACGAAAGGATAATTAAAAATCTTTTTTTCTTACGGAAAATTTCAAACATACAAAAGTAGAGAAGGTAGTAAAATGAACTGCATGTGCCCGTTACCCAGCTTCACCAGTTATCAACACACAGCTAATCTTCTTTCATCTGTATGAGATTTCCCCACACACACTTCTGCTATTTTCCTGCACACACTCCTGCCCTGGACTGTTTTGAAGCAAATCCCAGTTATCATATAATTTCACCTATAATACTTAAGTATATATCTCTAAAAGAAAGATCATGACAATGCCATTATCACACCTAAGTTTTTAACAGTAATTTCTTGATATAATAAAATATCCAGTTAGTGTCCAAATTTCCTTAATTGTCTCATAATTTTTTTTTGCAATTAGATTTTTTGAATTAGGATCCAACATGGTCCACACATTGCAGTAACTAATATATGTATATCTCTTTTAACTCTTGCAATTTATTTGTTAAAGAAACCCCTCATTTTTCCTGAGAGTTTTCCACAGTCTGAGTTTTGCTGGTTTCATCTCTGTGGTGTTGTTTAACAAGTCTCCTGTTCCAAGTATTTTTATAAAACTGGTAGTTAAATCTAGAATCTTAATCAGATTCACATCTGATTATTTTTGGAGGTAGGGGGAATGAACATTTTATAAGGGGTATTGTGTATTTTCGGAGTCCCTGGGTGGTGCAAATGGTTAATACAGCTGCTAACCAAAAAGGTTGGAGGTTCAAGTCCATACAGAGGTGCCTTGGAGAAAGGCCTGGAGATCTACTTCCAAAAAATAAGCCGTTGAAAATCCCTATGGAGCACAGTTCTACTCTGACACACATGGGGTCTCCATGAGTCGGAATCAACTGGTTTATTATGTATTTCCTGTTGCAGCATGTTAGGAAGCACATAATATCTGGTTGTCTCTTTTATGATATTAACATTGTTCAGGGGATACAAGTGTTGCCAGATGGTTTTAAAGTTATTGATATTCTTTCCCTAGATCCATTACTTTATTGGTAGTTGTAAAATGGATTTTTATTTTCTTCATTTATTAGCTGGAATTCTTGAAGAAGAACTTTCCCTTAATACCATCGGTTTCCCTGAGGTACAGTTCACATAGGAAAAGCAGGATATAAGTGCCCTATTATTGCCATGTTTCCAGATAATGTGTTGGTTCAGTGACCAATGAGATTTTTATTCTGTGTATCATTAAGATTTTTGATTTATATCAATGCATTGCAGATATTCTTTTTGCTGTTCAGATTGTTCCATCCTTTCCAGTGGGAGCCTCTTCAAGTTGGTTCCTAAATTCTTCTGACACAACCATGTTAGTCTTTAATAGTTTGTCATGACAACATGTTCTGTACTTATCTTGTATATTTTCTACTCCAGACTTGGCAATTAGACATTTCTTCAAGAAGCCTTAGTTTATTAGTTGGAAATGGTGTTTAGACATCATAGTCTGGGTCCTGTGGGAGTGGTCATTGCTACTGGATTGGTCATTGTTTCTAGATCTTTCCAGTGAACAGAATTAGAGTCTCTTACCTCCTTTTTAAAGAGAAAATATAATCTTAGTTTATAATGATATTGCCAATTCCAATTTAGAATTAAGGGTTTTACACCTTTAGCTTTCTATTTGTATCATTTCTCCCTCTTATACTAAAAATCCTGGTTCTTATGACTGATAAAATTATGTATTTGATCTCACCTGCAATATGTGATAGTTTCAGAATAACAAAACCAATGTGATGACTAACAATATGAGTACTGAACACAGTTAAAGATTTTATTGTGGTTCTTTTGGTTCTTAAAGTATTCTCACTAAGGACATATAGTCAAATTTAATAATTATTAAAGCAATTTAAAGTAATTATTTTCTCTGTGATCAAACACTAATTTGATATATAATTAGGTTAATTTGTTTCATCTTGTTTTATTTTTTAGAGCGTGCCATTTAAAATTTTTTACTTAATTTATAATTGTGTAAAGTATTTATATAGTTCCAACGTCAAATCTACAAAACAAGGTGTGTTCGGAGAAATCTACCTTTTATGCACAAATCCTTCACTGTGTTGTGCCCTTCTCTTATAAAAAAACCAAAACCAAACCCGTTGCCATTGAGTTGATTGCAACTCATAGCGACCCTGTAGGACAGAGAGTAAAACTGCCCCGTAGGGTTTCCAAGGAGCGGCTGGTAGATTTGAACTGTTGACGTTTTGGTTAGCAGCCTGAGCTCTTAACCGCTGTGCCACCAGGGCTACCCGCCCCCCACCTTTTTTTTCCTTTAGTAAGACTTTTATTTATTCTTACTTTTTTTTAACATGTAAGTAAATATGTCAATAGATTATATTTTTCCTCTTTCTTAGATAAAAGGTAGCATATTATGCACACTATTAATGTTTGGAAAAGATAATTTTTAACTGCGTGGTTTTAAGGTTGGTGCTGCTAATTCCAAAAAAGATGATTGTTAAAATATGATTTGTATATGTATAGAGGGAAACTGTTTATTTTAGATAACTACCTCTGCATATTTGATTTCTTCCCCCACCCATTTTTTCCTCCAGATTGCATACTTATCAACCTAGCTGTAAATGGCTTTTTTAAAAATTGTAGTAAAATACATATATAATAAAACATTTGCAAGTTTAACATTTTTTACACGTACAATTCAGTGACATTGATTATATTTGTGAGGTTGTACAACCATCACCACTGTCCTTTTCTAAATTATTCTACTACTATTAACAGAAACTCAGTGCCCCTAAACGATAAAAACACAGCTGCTGTTGAGTTGACTCCAACTCATGGCAACCCTATGTGCGTCAGGGTAGAACTGTGCTCCACAGGATTTTCAATGGCTGAGTTTTTGGAAGTAGATCACCAGGCCTTTCTTTTGAGGTGCCTCTGGGTAGACTCATACCACCAACCATTTGGTTAACAGCCAAGCACATTAACTGTTTATACCACCCAGGGCCTCCCCCATCTAAAGAATGACTTGCCCTTTTCCCTCCCTCCTACCCCTTGGTATTCCCTAATAAACTTTGGTCTCTGATTATTTGCCTATTTCATGTAAGTTGGATATATATTATTTGCCCTTTGTGACTGACTTATTTCACTCAGCATGTTTTCATGATTAATTCATGTTGTAGCATGTATCAGGACTTCATTTTTCTTTATGACTGAGTAAATATTCCTTTGAATATTATATGTGAATATATGAAGATGGCAGAGGACCAGGCAACATTTTGTTCTCTTATACATGAGTAGGAGCTGACGGAATGACAACTAACAGCAACAGTATTCCATTATATTATGTACCACATTTTGTTTATCAATTCATCTGTTTATGAACATTTAGGTTGTTTCCACCTTTTGGCTATTGTGAATAGTGCTGCAATGAACATTGGTGTACAAGTTTCTGTTTGTGTTCCTGCTTTCAGTTCTTTTGAATGTATACGTACGATTGAGATTGCTGGGTTATATAGTAGTTCTGTGTTTAACTTTTTGAGGAACCACCAAACTGTTTTCCACAGTGACTGCACCATTTTGCATTCCTACCAGAAATGAATGAGGGCTCCAATTTCTCCTCATCCTTG